ATAGCAGGAGATAGCATCTCTCAAGCGATCATATGTGAAAAGGCTAGGAAGTTGCATGACAATTTAATTTAAAAAATGCCTGCAGCTAGTGATGTGAGTGAATTTAAGGCCAGCAAAGGTTGGTTTGAGAGATTTAAGAAGCGTAGTGGCATTCATAGTGTGATAAGGCATGGTGAGGCTGCCAGTTCGGACCACAAGCAGCTGAAAAATATGTGCAGGAATTCAAGGAGTACATAGACAGTGAAGGACTGAAACCTGAACAAGTGTTTAATTGTGACGAAACAGGCCTGTTTTGGAAGAAAATGCCAAGCAGGACGTACATTACTCAGGAGGAAAAGGCACTCCCAGGACATAAGCCTATGAAAGACAGGCTTACTCTGTTGATGTGTGCCAATGGTAGTGGTGATTGCAAAGTGAAGCCTTTATTGGTGTATCACTCTGAAACTCCCAGAGTATTCAGGAAAAACAATGTCGTCAAGGCTAATTTGTGTGTGCTGTGGAGGGCAAACAGTAAGGCATAGGTCACTAGGGACTTTTTCTATGACTGGTTACACCATGCATTTGCCCCCAGTGTGAAAAATTACCTAATTGAAAAGAAATTAGACCTTAAGTGCCTCCTGGTATTAGACAGTGCTCCTGGTCATCCTACAGACTTGACAGAGCGACTTTCTAGGGACATGAGCTTCATTAAGGTGAAGTTTTTGCCTCCTAATACCACTCCTCTCTTGCAGCTCATGGACCAGCAGGTCATTTCCAACTTCAAGAAACTGTACACAAAAGCTATGTTTGAAAGGTGCTTTGTAGTGACCTCAGAAACTCAACTGACTCTAAGAGAGTTTTGGAAAGATCATTTTACCATCCTCAGTTGTGTAAGCATTATAGGTAAGGCTTGGGAGGAAGTGACTAAGAGGACCTTGAACTCTGCTTGGAAAAAACTGTGGCCAGAATGTGTAGACAAAAGGGATTGTGAAGGGTTTGAGGCTAACCCTGATGTGGAAGAGTTGGTGGAGGAGGACAATGAAGAACTAACCACTGATGAGCTGCTAGATCATCTTGAACAGCAAGAGGGCAGACCTGAGGAAACTGCTTAAGAGGAGGGGATAGAGAAATTGAAGAAGTTGCCTACTTCAAAGATTAAGGAAATATGTGCAAAGTGGCTTGAAGTGCAAACCTTTTTTGATGAAAATCACCCTGACACAGCTACTGCAAGCCATGCTGGCAACCTGTACACTGACAATGTTGTGAACCACTTTATGAAAGTCATAAAGGAACGGGAGGTACAGGTATCTATGGACAGATATGTTGTGCGACAGAAGTCCAGTGACTCTCAAGCTGGTCCTAGTGGCATTAAAAGAAGAAGGGAAGTAACCCCAAAAAAAGACTTGTTACCTCAAGTGCTAATGGAAGGGGATTTCCCTTCTAAACACTAAGAAGATCAACGGTCTCCCCTCCTCCCATCCCATCAATCATCACCAGATCTTTAATAAAGGTAAGTGTCATGTAACTGTGCATGTCTTCTTCAGTTTGTGTGTATTAAAATTAATATTTCATGTGGTAAATTTTTTTTTTTTCAATACTTTGGGGTGTCTTGCGTGGATTAATTTGAATTCCATTATTTCTTAAGGGGAAAATTAACTTGACTAACTATTATTTCGATTAACGATGAGCTCTCAGGAACGGATTAATGTCGCTGGTTGAGGGTCCACTGTATAGGCGTATCAAAAGGGGATGGGCAGTTAAGAAATCAGTATACTTCAGTTAGAGAGAGAAATAAAAAAAGGAAGAAGAAAAGCAAAAAGGGATTATGAGACTAAGTTCGCAAGGGATTCGAATACTAACTCAAAAGGGCTCTTTTCAGGTATACAGAAGTAAGATTAGGGATAAGATTGGCCCACTTAGTAACTCGGGTCAGATTGCTGATAGTGATAAGGATATTGTGAAATCTTCAATACTTACGTCCTCTCAGTTTTTACCCAGGAAAATACTAGCGAAATTCCAGAAATAATAGATTATGTAGAACAGGATGATAATAAACTATGCACGATTGCAGTAACTAGTGATATGGTTCTCAGACAAATAGAGAAATTAAAACCTAACAAATCCCCAGGCCCTGATGAACTGTTTGCAAGGGTGTTAAAGGAATGTAAAGATGAACTTAGCATACCTTTGGCTAGTATTTTCAACATATCACTGCAAACTAGCATAGTGCCTGATAAATGGAAAATGGCAAATGTAATACCTATTTACAAGGTAGTTAACAGATCCTTAGCTTCGAATTATAGACCAATAAGCCTTACCTCCATAGTGGGAAAATTTATGGAATCAGTAATTGCCGAAACAATTTGTAGCCATCTCGAAAGGCATAAATTGATTAATGAATCGCAGCACGGTTTTACAAAGGGGCATTCCTGTCTTATGAATTTACTAACTTTCTTCACTAAGGTATTTGAGGAAGTAAATCATGGTATTGAATATGATATTGTGTATATGGACTTCAGTAAGGGCTTCGATAGAGTTCCACATCAGAGGCGATTGAGGAAACCTAAGGCACACGGTATAGGAGGAGAAATTTTTTCCTGGGTTGAGGCATGGTTGACGAATAGGCAACAGTGTTTTTGCATAAATGGAGAGAAATCAGATTAGTGGCATGTCACAAGCAGTGTTCCACAGGGGTCAGTGTTGGGCCCCTTGTTGTTCACAATCTACATAAACGACATAGATGAGGGAATAAAATACAACATAAGAAATTTGCTGATGACACCAAAATAGGCCATCCAATTCATTCTAATGAGGACATTAGAGCACTCCAGGATGATTTGAATAGACTGATGCAGTGGACAGAGAAGTGGCAGATGCAGTTGAATATATGCAAATGCAAAGTTCTAAATGTTGGACAGTAAAATAACCATGCCACATATAAACTAAATAATGTTGATCTTAATATTACGGATTGCAAAAAAGGATTTAGGAGTTCAGGTTAGTAGTAATCTAAAACCAAGACAACAGTGCATTAGTGTTCGCAATAAAGCTAACAGAATCCTTGGCTTCATAGCAAGAAGTATAAATAATAGAAGTCTTCAGGTTGTTCTTCAACTCTATATATCTTTGGTTAGGCCTCATTTAGATTATGCTGCACAGTTTTGGTCACCGTATTACAGAATGGATATAAATGCGCTGGAAAACATACAAAGGAGGATGACAAAGTCGATCCCATGTATCAGAAATCTTCCCTTTGAAGATAGACTGAGGGCCCTGAATCTGCACTCGTTAGAAAGGCATAGAATTAGGGGGGGATATGATTGAGGTGTATAAATGGAAAACAGGAATTAATAAAGGGGATGTAAATAGCGTGCTAAAAATATCTAGCATAAACAGGACTCGCAGCAATGGCTTTAAATTGGAAAAATTCAGATTCAGGAAGGATATAGGAAAGCACTGGTTTGGTAATAGAGTTGTGGATGAGTGAAACAAACTTCCGAGTACCGTCATAGACGCTAGGACATTGTGTAGTTTTAAAAATAGGTTGGATAAATACATGAGTGGGTGTGAGCTGGACCTGACTAGCTTGTGCTACTAGGTAGGATGCAGTGCTACTCCCTTAAGTGACATATCTGACCTCAATAGGTCAAGGCATTGGCTTAAGCTGGTGGGAGAATTGGAGCTGCCTCACATAGACCAGTAGACCTGTTGCAGTGCTCCTTCTTTCTTATGTTCTTATGAAGGCAATTATTCTGTTAGTGGGATGGATTTGTGAAGGACCTGCCTAGTATGGGCCAACAGGCCTGCTGCAGTGTTCCTCCCTTCTTATGTTCTTATGTGCAGTGGAACCTCAGCACTTGAACTTAATTGGTTCCAGAAGGCTGTTCGAGTGCTGATCTGTTCGAGTACAAAACAAATTTTTCTCAGCCAGTTTTCTTTTTGATTGGCTGTTATCACTAACCCTCTTAGGCCCCATGGTTACTTATTTATACAATAATTTATTATTATTATTATTAATTTTTATTTTATTATTAACACACTGATCGATTCCCTCCAAGGCAGGGTGGCCCGAAAAAGAAAAACTTTCACCATCATTCACTCCATCACTGTCTTGCCAGAAGGGTGCTTTACACTACAGTTTTTAAACTGCAACATTAACACCCCTCCTTCAGAGTGCAGGCACTGTACTTCCCATCTCCAGGGCTCAAGTCCGGCCTGCCGGTTTCCCTGAATCCCTTCATAAATGTTACTTTGCTCACACTCCAACAGCACGTCAAGTATTAAAAACCATTTGTCTCCATTCACTCCTATCAAACACGCTCACGCATGCCCGCTGGAAGTCCAAGCTCCTCGCACGCAAAACCTCCTTTACCCCCCTCCCTCCAACCTTTCCTAGGCCGACCCCTACCCCACCTTCCTTCCACTACAGACTGATACACTCTTGAAGTCATTCTGTTTCTCTCCATTCTCTCTACATGTCTGAACCACCTCAACAACCCTTCCTCAGCCCTTTGGACAACAGTTTTGGCAATCTCCCACCTCCTCCTAACTTCCAAACTACGAGTTCTCTGCATTATATTCACACCACACATTGCCCTCAGACATGACATCTCCACTGCCTCCAGTGGAGATGTCATGCAAAGAAACACGAAATAGTTTACAGTGAAGTTCTGGCAGGTCGTGTTTGTTTGGCAAACAGTAGACTACTGAGCGACTTGTTTACCCAACAAAGCGTTTGAATACCGAATTGTTCGTGTACCGAGCTGTTGAGTACCGAGGTTCCACTGTACTTATACACAAATACAGTAAGCCAGTACAGCATACACTATTTGGTATCCGTATCAAAGAGAGAGTTCCCCGTCATTTAGTATTTTTCATTAAAGAAGGACACTTTAATGGAATGTATCAAAGTTGCTTCTTTTGAGTGTTTCATTATTCTTTTGGTTACTTTAATAGGGGTTGAGGCCTCGATATCTGTTTTATGCAGCCTAATTAAATTTTGTTTAACTTATTCCTTCTAGTTTGTCGATATGATGGCACGCAAGCTGAAAGAAGCGCTAAAGGCGTGTATGTGGAAAACAGCTCGTTATGTCTTACGGTTCTTTTCTGACCTCGTCAACTGTCATGTCATCTCTACCAATTCACTTCTTCAGCTATTACATACTTTTCTAGACACAGCACGTGATGATAACTCTCCACAAGGTAAGAAACAGTTAATTTTCTATTATGATTAACAAAAAATTATTACGAAATGCAAGTTTTAATGTACTTGGTAGTCCATATTTTTCCTTAAATTAGTGTGTGCTTTTTTTTTTTTTTTTTTTTTTTTTTTTTTTTTTTTTTTTGTGTGTGTGTGTGTGTGTGTGTGTGTGTGTGTGTGTGTGTATTTTTTATAAGTGTTCATGTGTGCATGAGTGTGGGAAAATATTTTCAAGTAAAAGTGATGTATAATGTGCAGAACTACATAGTATATTGCTTTCATGTATAGTAGTATTAGTACAGTAAATCTTTCATATAACAACCTTTGATATAACATAGATTTGAAATAAGGGATAAAATCCACTAAGCAAATTGTACTTTCAGTGCCTTTATTTTCAATATTTGTTCTTGTGTGTATCTGCAAAATGTGTGTATTATTTCACATTACCTCTTTAACTGTTTTGGTCATATATATATGTCTTACGAGCCAATGTTTTTGACTTATTAATGTGTAAATTCTAGCAGTTTCAAATCAAGCGGGAGAAAGCTGGTAGGCCTACATGTGAGAGAATGGGTCTGCGTGATGGGTGTGCGCAGTATGTGGTGCATTGTGGGAACGCCATTTTAGTAGTCCTTGTTCATGATGCCTCGCGGTAAGAAGTACCTTACTCCTCGTTCAATTGGAGTTTTTCTGTTCCCAAGTGATAGTTCTAGCAGCGATGGAAGTGCCAGTGAAAGTGAATTCCGTGGTTTTCAGGAGGGTGTGACCGAAAGCAGCGCCCAGGATAACGTAATTAGTGATGAAAACCCAGATGACCCATGACTTTCCACGTCTGGTGCTGGGCCGTCTCATTCACATTCACCCATACCAGGATGAAAGAGGAAACTCTTTCCCCATGTACAGGGCTCGGATGTGAGCAGTGAAAGTGATAGTGATAGTGATTTCCAAGCTACTGAAAGCAGTTTGAGTTGTGACAGTGAGGGGCAATATTCTCCAGTGAAGCGGCAGTATGTACAACGCAGCATGCGTTCTGGTAGTGTTCCATGTGTCATTCCAAGGAAAAGGAGTAAATCTTGGAGTACATCCCGTGGCCCTACACCACGAACTGATAGTGAAGATGACGGTGATATTGTTACACTGGGATACGTAATGTGCGTGGGGCAGCAAGTGATGATGGTGGTGGCATGAGTCATGTGGCACCACCAGCGGGCCACGCTGCTACCCACACTGCTAACTCAACACAGCCACAACCAGCCTCAACCACCCCCACTCTCTCATAACCTGCACAACAACAACCTCCACAACCACCTGTCAATATCCAGTACCCACCAGCAGACTGCAGCTGGGATTGGCAGCAAGGTTCCAATTTTGTTCCCAATTCCCATGACTTTGATGAAACACACAGTGGAATACGGCCATCGTGTACACTTGGGAACAATGCCACTGAAATTGAATGCTTTCAGTTATTCTTCAATGAACCCCTGATGGAAATTGTCAGGGAAAGCAACACATACTACGAGTACACCATGGCAAACACAGTTCTTTCACCAAGGTCATGGCTACACCAGTGGAAGGATAACTGTGGCAGATGTGTACCTTTTCTTTACCACAATAATGCTTAGACCACAAGTGTATAAGCACACTGTCACCACATACTGGACGACAGACTGCCTGATTTCAACCCCATCTTTCAGTGAGATTATACCAGTGAATCTGTTTCTGCTACTGTTACATATGCTACGCTTCTCAGACAAAACAAGGCCTGATAGAAACGACAGGTTATATAAGATCAGGAATGTGTTTATGTATGTACTTGAAACAATACTGCTGTATGTGTTTGTATTCCTTCAGGAAGCTTGTTATTGATGAGTCTTTGATTTTGTTCAAAGGCAGACTTTTGTTCAAGCAGTATATACTAAGCAAGAGGAAATGCTTTGGTGTAAAGTTATTTGTACTAGTTAACTGCAAAAGTGGTCTGGTTTTGGATATAATTGTGTACACTGGCAGTAAGACATTGAGAGATACCAGGAAGTTATTGGGTATCTCTGGTGATGTCATTAAAACAATGATAGAACAATTGTAGGCGTATGCCTAGGTTCGACACAGGCACTCACAGAAGTGAGGTGCAGGTGTTTGCTGCCAATGACATCAAGTCATTTCGGTGGCATGACAAACGTGATGTCACATTGTTGACATAAGTTCACCGACACAAAATTACAGACACTGGCAGGCAGAATAGAAAGACCAATGAACCCATTCTAAAACTGGCAGCTGTGATGGACTACAACCTCAATATGCACTTACTGGACAAATGTGACATGCAGATTGCATTTGCTGATTGTGTTTGCTAGAGTTATAAGTGGTACATAAAATTCTTTTTTTTCCATCTTCTTGATGTTTCCATGCTGAATTCTTATAATATGTATAAGTTGAAGACCAAGAACAAGCCCACGTATGGTGAATTTTGTTTGTCAGTCGTCAGACAAATAATATTCAAGTACCAAGGAACAACACCTGTAATAGATCAGTGCCCATGAAATTATCAACACATACCCTCACATCTGGGGCCTGGTGATCACTACCCCATACAACTGCCTCCTGCTACGTACTTTCAAGAAGACTACTCAGAAGAGGTGTTGTGTCTGTGCACATACCACAAAACGCCCACAAGAACAGAGACACTCGTTTTATGTGTGAGGAGTGTAAAACACCACTGTGCATATACCCATGTTTCAAAGAATTCCACAAGCTGCAGCAGTTCTAGGAAACTGTCCAGTGACTGTACATTTGTATATATATTATAGAACAATAGTAGTAAATAGTTTTTTGTATTGTTTGCATAGACAAGTTTTGTAAACAATATACAGTGGAACCCCAACTTACGCTATTAATTCATCCCAGAAGTCTGTTCGGGTGCTGTTACCGAACGAATTTACCACATATGTGCATGTGTGTGTGTGTGTGTGTGTGTGTGTGTGTGTGTGTGTGTGTGTGTTTGTTTGTTTGTGTATGTGTATGAGTGTGTGAGTGTGTGTGTGTGTGTGTGTGTGTGTGTGTGTGTGTGTGTGTGTGTTTGTTTATGTGTGTGTGTATGAATTTGTATGTGTGTGTGTGTGTGTGTGTGAGAGAGAGACTCAGCAATCAACATTTGCACCAATAACTCACTACAGTTGTGACCGGGTGTGGAAGTGTGAATTGCTCATTACTCTAAAATTTGTTCATGATTGCAGCCATGTATAAACGTAAGTAACCATTCTTACAGTATTCATTACCTTTGCAACTTGTGAGTTCATTACCTTTGTAACTTGCGAGTTCATTACCTTGTACCTAGTTCAGCCATAAAAACTTTGGAGCCCGGTCCCTGGACCCATTGTGTACCTCTGTAATCTGTAAATACCTTTGTAACTTGTCATGATTGTGACTAGACCTACCTGGAGTTCATTACCTTTGTAAATTGTGAGTTCATTACCTTTGTAAATTGTGAATTCATTACCTCTGTAACTTGCTCAGCTATCAAAACTTTGAGGCCCAGTCCCTGGACCCATTATGTACCTCTGTAATCTTTTGACTACCACCCACAGGATGGGTATGGGGTGCATAATAAACATATTAAACTAACTTCCCATAAGGAATATTGTAAATTAGATTAGTCTGTTTTATACCCCCAAAATTACATGTACAAAAACACTTACAAAAATACACTTACATAATTGTTCGAGTTGGGAGCTGATCGTAAGGCGGGGGTCCACTGTATTAATAATAATGTTTGTGTGCTTATTGTGTTGCAGATGAGTGTGTATATATACATTGCACCTTAACTTTGGTCTCACAGGCCACGTAAGTTACCTGAAAAGATAAAGTAGTGGAAAAAACTTGAAACCTTCAAATGGGAGTAAAAAAAAAGTTTACTGGGTGGCCGCTGTTGCCATATGCAGCTCATTTTCTGCCGACTTTATGCCTCTATATCTTGGTAAGTACTGACTGCAAAAGAAAAAAAAATTAGGCTTAAAACACTCAGCAAATTAATCCAAACATTTTGGTAAGAAGAATTTTTTTTTCTAATATTTTGTGACATAGGAAGACAGTTTCAGAATTGGGCTTGCAACAGTCAAAGGGGTTAAGTGTACTGTAGAGTAGTGCTTATTTCACCATTTTTTAACATTCTCATTTGTTACGATAAAACTTAGAATATGTAATATATTTGGCCTGAGTATTGGAGATCCTTAGTATCGAATATACTCATGGAAAATCGTAATAAGTATTTATATGATGGGGTGATGAAAAGACTGCATTAAAATTTGTTTTTAGCCCGTAAACGGTCCAAACGTATATATGTTTTTACCGCTAGTGCCCCAAACGTATATATACGTTTTATGTGTCCTACATTTAACATTGCCACGATAAGCCTGAGTCGCCTAGACATGTGAGAATGGGTGTGAGCACTCACTGTGCACCATATTAAAATAATTGGGATGCCTGGGTACCATATGCTTTTTTTTCCTATTAAAAAACAACAATGTTTTTTTTTTCTCAAAAAAGTTGGGGCAGTACGGTAGTGAACGTATATATATGTTTGGACCGTTTACAGGTTAATATAACATAATTTACGTAATCTATAAGGTATTTTAAAATGGCACCCTTTCAGGGTCCCCAGGCCCTCTCCGAGACTTGTTCTCAGGGTCGCCAAATTTAAAAAAAAAAAAAATTTCTTTGAAAAGATAGAGAATCTTTTCCCGTTCATAATGACACCAAAAGTATGAAATTTGATGGAAAACTTACGGAATTATGCTCCTGTGAAGTTAGCGGTCTCGACCATGTTTACGCATCGGCAATTCTACCCACTGTGAGCCCTATTTTCGGCCAATTCCACTGTACTAGTCGACAAAAATCATAACTATTTCACTAGAACTCCATTTTTTCTATCGAATGAGTACAAGAAACCACCCGTTTACATATTTCAACTATCCAATAAAGTGGTCAGAATTTAGCAATTTTGCCAATT